AATCTAAAACGAAAACTTATTTGTATGAACGCTTATTGAACCTTTTCTTTCGGAAACGAATTTCGCATGGCAGACTTAAATTTTTCAGAAAACGGATTGATCTTGATGTTTAGCATAAGTTCTTGAGAATTCTACGATCGTAAATCAATTAGAAGTGGAGCTTTAAAATTCGCAAGCGATGCAGCCCTAGCTTGAATCCATTTACAGCGCTGCCAACGTGGGCAAAGTGGCTCTTGCCAATCAGTTGGCATCGCCACCATTATTTGTTGGTTTTTTGTTGCTGGTTTTTGAGTTTTTATATTTTATTTTTCTAGAACAATAATGAAGGCGTAAATTTCAGTAGAAGGGCGTTTTAGGATAACTACCAGCAAAAATAGGATTTAGGATTATATCCACATTCGGAGTACACACCCATCGACAGCTTGACGAGGCATGAGCCGAGTAATCGGAATCGCGAGCAAGTGGACACAAAAGAATGCAGTTAACAATTGGGAACATTCTCGAAAATTCTCGTAGCACCAAGTAAATCACTATACTCAAGAAAGCAAAGTAGCTGGAGGCCGGATCCGGAGAAATGGCATCTGGCAAAGAGCTCTATTGCTGGGGGAGCACATCGCATGGCCAATTGGGACTCGGCGGAATCGAGGATGAACAGGTATGTATATAGATGAATTTCTGGTATAGGCCCACTGAGATTACTATTGGATCCCTGGCAGATCCTCACACCCAGTCAGATACCCTGGACACCGGACACCGCTGTAGAGCAGGTCGCCTGTGGACACCGGCACACCCTCTTTCTGACCGCCAATGGAAAAGTATACGCTTGCGGGAGCAACGACCACTCCCAACTGGGACACGATCTGCCCACCAAAAGGCCACGTATGTCGCCATTTCGTATGTAATCTTCATTTATCGTCTTGTCTATCCACTGTCCACTAACTTCACCTCATCACCCAACTCACCAACTTCCACTGGTGCGAATCGAGTCTAAATCCCGCACGGCCGACTTTTTGCAGTGCTTATCCCCGAACTGCAGGACTATGTGATCATCCAGATCTCCTGCGGCAGCCGCCACTCACTGGCACTTTCCGATTGGGGCCAAGTCTTAAGCTGGGGCGACAACGACTGCGGGCAGCTGGGTCATGCAACCGACAAGGAGATCATGCAGCTGCCCAAGGTTGTGCGGCAACTGGTCTCCAAGACGGTGGTGCAGATCGCCTGTGGCAACAATCACAGCTTGGCGCTGACCAGCTGTAAGTATGGAGTATAGATTAATTGACTTGATAATTGATACATAAATCAAAAACGCAATCAAATATAGCTAACATGATAAGATAATACGTTCGCAAAATAATACCCAACAATTACTAAACCATTTTTATCTTAGTTACTCATAGGATATAGCGCTTAACTCTTCTAGGTGGCGAGCTGTATTCGTGGGGTTCCAACATCTACGGGCAGCTGGGCGTGAACTCCCCGAAGGATCTGACGCACTGCAACTATCCCCTTCGGCTAACCACGCTGCTGGGAATTCCGCTGGCCGCGATTGCCTGTGGAGGCAATCACTCGTTCCTCATCTCCAAGTCCGGTGCGGTGTTCGGTTGGGGGAGAAACAACTGCGGCCAACTTGGACTGAATGACGAAACAAACCGCGCATATCCCACCCAGCTGAAAACGCTGCGCACTCTGGGCGTTCGATTTGTGGCCTGCGGCGATGAGTTCTCCGTTTTTCTGACCAACGAGGGAGGGGTGTTCACCTGTGGAGCTGGCGCTTATGGGCAGTTGGGTCATGGCTTTAGCTCGAATGAGATGCTACCGCGAATGGTAATGGAACTAATGGGCAGCACCATCACTCAGGTGGCCTGTGGCAATCGCCACACTCTGGCGCTGGTTCCATCGCGCGGCAGGGTTTATGCCTTCGGCTTGGGTAGCTCTGGGCAGCTGGGCACGAGGAGTACGAAGAGCCTGATGCTGCCGCAGGTGGTCATCGGTCCCTGGGTGTCGCCCAGTGGATCAGCCCTGTTGCAATCCAAAGATGCAAAGGTCTCGGTGGTCATCCGGCAGATTTTCTCAGGTGGGGATCAGTCAATTGTGACCACAACATTGTTTATGGAAAAGGTGCCCCCCGAGGATTTCAGAAACTACAAGTATTTATAGAAGCGTGTTATTTTGGTAACAACCTAGTGATTATATTTACTTTGCAGACCCAAGTCCCAGATCCTATCCCTAACAGCAGAAGTCACTAAGCAATGTGCTCAGTGCAAGCAAGACGATCAAAGCGACATGGATCTCCTGAGCTCTATTGAACTGATATTTAAGAGTCAGGCCTGTTGGAATGGTTCCTTCCTATTGGATCACGACAGACACTTTGGTTGCTCGGCACGCAACCATGGATTGGACCTCAAGGCAGCCCAATTGGCATTCGACAATCTGCGCGTTGTGGAAAACGAAAGCATTAAGCAGGTGGTAAGTTTTCGCCATTACAAGCATCATTTGTATCTTGTTAATCACTTCATTGTTGTAGATCTGGGACAATATAACCAATGAGCTAGTTGGTTCGCTGGTGAACTCACCGGCGGATGTGGAGAGCATGCGATTATATCTGTTACTACCACTTTACCACGAGTTCGTGAACTCCAAGCACTACAAGTCACTGCAGATTCCGTTTGCCAATGCCATATTTAAGCTAACAGAGAACCCACGAAAAGTGCTGATCAAGTGGCTGGCCCAAACACCGGCTGAATACTTTGAGCGCCTTGTCCAGAACTGCTTGCATGTAGTCGTCCATATTATAAGTTTCAAAATGGGCTTGGTTGCCATTAGTCCCAGCGCCGAGAGACGTGAAAGGGTATTTAGGTTTCACTATAGTGTCATACCTGTGCCAAACAATTTTCTATTCTTAATTTAGTTCCTGCCATATAACACTGAGCTCGAGGTGATTCTTAAACTGATGCAAACACTCTTCCAAATCAACAACTTGCGCGATGATCGCCTAGACTATCAAAGCTTTTACTGGCCTGATCTTTTGGATTATGTAGATGTGCTGCAGGAGTACGTTAAATGGATCATGGTCGACACTGCCAGCGAATTCAGCATTTGCAATTATTCATTCATTTTCGACCAGTCTGCTAAGACAGCATTGCTCCAAGCTGATCAGGCGCTGCAGATGCACTCTGCCATGGCCAATGCGGCTACCATGGTGGGTTAATGACGCCTAGAAATAATTTATTAGTTGATAAATACTTTTTTACCCTTACCCAGCAAGCATTCTCCTTGTTCAACTACGGGATGCCCATCTCGCAGTTTATCGTGCTCAACGTGACGCGGGAAAATCTGGTGCAGGATTCCCTTCGAGAGTTGCAGCGTTACTCGCAGAGGGATCTTAAGAAGCCGCTGAAGATCAAGTTCCAGGACGAGGAGGCGGAGGACGCGGGTGGCGTGCGCAAAGAGTTCTTCATGCTGCTGCTAAAGGATCTACTCGATCCCAAGTATGGTATGTTCAAAGAGTACGAGGACTCGCGTCTACTCTGGTTTGCAGATCTCACCTTCGAGACGGAAAACATGTACTTCCTTATTGGCGTCCTCTGCGGTCTGGCCATCTATAACTTTACCATCATCAATTTGCCATTTCCACTGGCTCTGTACAAAAAGCTGCTGGATAAGCCCGTGGATCTCAGTGATCTCCGCCAGCTTTCTCCTCCGGAGGCCAACTCCATGCAATCTCTACTCGACTACCAGGGCGAGGATTTTAAGGAAGTTTTTGATCTGACTTTTGAGATATCGCGGGATGTATTCGGGGAGGCGGAGACGAAGTGCCTTAAGCCCAACGGCAATGAGGTAGCCGTAACACTGGAAAACAAGTGGGTGTAGTAACCATTTCTATTGAGACACCCGTGATAATTAGCTTACCACTTTAGGCAGGAGTTTGTGGATCTGTATGTCGACTTTGTGTTCAACAAGTCCGTCGAGCTGCATTACACTGCGTTTCACAAGGGCTTTATGAAGGTATGTTCTGGTCGGGTGATTCAAATATTCCAGCCGGAGGAGCTGATGGCCGTGGTGGTGGGAAACGAGGACTACGACTGGCAGGCGCTGCAGGACAACTGCGAGTACCGCGAGGGCTATACTTCGGGCGATGACACAGTGAGTTGTAAACTAAAGATCGGCTTACCAGGCTTTATCCGTGTACCTACCGCAGATCAAATGGTTCTGGGAGGTCATTCATGATCTGTCCGAGGCGGAAAAGAAGAGTTTCCTCCTCTATTTAACTGGCAGCGATCGCATTCCCATCCAGGGCATGAAGGCCCTTAAAGTGAGTTGTCAGGTGTTACTTACATTGCCAAGTGCGTTCTTAAAAGTACCGATTCCGATTCAGCTCACCATTAAACCCACCCCGGACGAACGATTCCTGCCCGTGGCACACACCTGCTTCAATCTGCTGGACCTGCCGCGCTACAAGACCAAGGAGCGCCTCAAGTTCAAGCTGTTGCAGGCCATCCAGCAGACGCAGGGCTTCAGCCTGGTCTGATTCGGACCCCTTCCCACGATGACTTCTAACTACAGGTATTTTCCGAAGCTATGGCTTCGCGCATTTTCGGATTTTCTTCAATCGAGCTGCTTTCAAAGACAACCCACACTTGGTACACACATTTATCAGCGATCAAATCAGCAAGTACAATGTTGTGTTATAGCTTTAAACTCTAGACTAGTTATTAGTATCGCATTGTTATGGAGAGGAAGGAAGCCAAGGAGGTAAAATAAAGTTGGTGCATCAGTCTGAGAACAAAACCTGAACAATGTCTGTTATTTAACCACCTTTCAATAAAAGATATTGCGAAAAATGCGTGCTTAAAGTTATTGTTGTTGTAACGGCTATGTTTGAATCCGATAACGATAGCTTGGGCAGGAGCCGCTTCTGGCGGAAAAGGCGCTGAGTTGGCAGCACTGCCGGCCGCACAGCTGAGTGTCTGAAATGTGGCGGCAAATCGAAGCCGTCGAAGTCAGTTCAACTTCAACTTTGGCAAGGTGCGCGGCCGTGTGCGGAATTCGCTCGTTCATTTCTTTATTCGCTGCCGAGAACTTTTTCGGATGCTCATTTGCATGCGCTGGCCGTGCGCTGCTTGACTTTAACCGACCGATTTCGAATACGGTACGCATATGTGCCGCCCTAGCCCCGCTTTTCCAAATTATCCACCAACGAGCACAGTTCGCTGCTAACGCCAACAAACGTTGTCCAAACGTCACCTTCCCGGGTCACGCTAACGGTACCCGCATCGGAAAAGAAATTCAAACAGGTAGAGCACCGCGACCACAAAAAAGTAACGACTTCGGGCGACAGTTTGTGGAATTATGGGTACTTACTTATGTACATACTCACTTAGTCTGCAATTGCATGCGTGCCAATCGCTTGCCCATCTCGCCACGGCTCGAACTTCTTAATCCGCGCGAACGGGGCGAGATGGCCTACAAAATCAATTACCATCGCAACTTTTGCATATCCTGACAGCTAACAAATGTCCGGCCACCAAATCCAGCGATCCCAGGCGGCGCACATGAGTTTATAACTAAAAAAAAGTTAGCAAAGAAAGATACGAAAATACGAAAAAAAGCGGTTCTGCCGGTTTGCCCGTGGTCGTGGTCGTGATCTGCAGCGTCTTCCGCTGCTTTCTTTCCTTTGCACGATTTGAACTTGGACACCAAACGCAACAAAAGCTACAGCGGCACAAAAGAGCAGCAAAAGCAGGAATGCACTGCGAGAAACGCTCCTTGAGGACTATTTCAATTCATAAAAGCAAATACTTTAGTCAGTTTCTACTTTCCCTACAACTTTCATTATCATATTCCCACATAATTGGTGTTCTCCAATCACCAATCACATGCTATCAGCATGTGAGGAACTGCCACGGGCGGATGCTTCTCTCAGTGTGCCAGCTACCGCATTCGCAGAGATCTGGTTTATGGTGATGCTCCTCTAATAAAGCGAGCGTTTAGGCACCGGCACCTCAATTTCGCCACCACTCTTGCTCCTCCGTTCGCTTCCTGGGGCTTCATTCCACGTCGTCCACGAGGATATACTCCTACATGTGTATTATGGCAGGGGTTCACCTGTCTGTGTGCCTCGCTCATGATGGGGATGGGGATGAGCTTGTTTGCCCAGGTTTTATAGCAGGAACAAACAGGCAAGGCATACAAGGAGGGTCAACAGGGCGTATGAGTGTGGCGGAGGGTGATGCGCTGGCCATGAGTAATCGTCACTCCGCGGTGGATATACGACGTAGCTTGGGGGATAGATCCCCCTCCGCCGCTTGCCCACTCGCCGACCAATTGAAATTGTATCAAATTTCAATTTCGTTTCCACACTGCGACGGCCCTCCATTAATTTGACCCAGTTTTCAAAACAGCGGCAATAAGCTGCTTAAAAATAACCAACTGCAATGGTTTGAAAACGAAACCAAATGATTCGCCAAATCTGGCAGCTGTTCAAACACAAGCTCGCAACAAAAACCAACTCCGCACTCGGCAAACCATTGTCAAATACCCGGAGTCTTAAAATACCTGGGGTCTGCGGACTCGTAAAGTACGTATGGTATTGAAACTAGACTAGAGGCGATTGTAGAACACCTTTTTACGAGTGCACAAAGCATTGCCCCCAATGTCATTGCCTCACACTTGGCACCCAAAAGAAACGAGTTGGAAAACCACGCGGATCACAGAAAGCCGAATTTTGTTAATGATGTAATGCCAGCTTTCTGCCAACTAACCAGCCAAACAGACAAAGGCCAAAAGAACAAACGAAGAACCGGAGGAGGAAGTAAAATTGCACGCCTTTTGGTTCGGGTAATTGCGATATTTATTATCGCCCAGCCCTGTCATGTGCTGATTTGACTCTACGCAATATACATAATTTATGGAATACATGGAATGTAGTATTGCCGGGTCTTGGGAACACATCGACCCACACCCACAACCACCTCAAAAATGCCGAAATCGCGGCCTGATGACAAACTTGAACTTTCTCTTATCGGAATCAGTGGCGTTATCTGCTCGCTGGGTTCAACCAGTTTTACTGATATGATATTGATCGTGTACGGTCCAAATGCAAACAGGGTGCTTTTCCCTTTTTCTTATCCAGCTGCATTATGACATTCATTTATGTCTACTAAGATAAGATACGGAAATTAAGTTGAATCGACAAAAGAGCACAACAGGCCATGTAGTACATCGCTTTTCCACGAAAGACGGGGAGGTATGGTCGACTGCCAATGGTACCCTCTTGTATGAATGGGGAGATGTGTCACGAAGAGTAGAGCAGTGAAGATAGGCCAAGGAGTGGAGTATCTCTTAAAGAAATTGCACCTCCTGAAATACACATATAGAAGGATCTATCCACAGTTATCTGTACCCTTCCCAAATCCACCCGCGTAAGGCGATAATCAGCAATGTGGCAATATGCCCCACTCAATCGAGTGTACGACACAGTACAAGTATAGCAAAAATCCCCACTTGTCAAGAAGTTCGATTGGCGAGGTACCAGGAACCCGGAGCCAGAACTTCCACTCCATTCCATTTCTTTCGACGGAGGAGTGAGCTCCAGCTCGTGTTGGGATCACAATTACATCGCACCTCGGATTTGCTCAGGTTTGGTGAAGTGCCAAGTAAGGGCTTTTCGTGGAAGCCCCAAGTCGAAACTCTTATTCAACGTGAGTACGGGCAAAAAGTCAGTTTTTAAGCGGCCAAAACAGAAGGAGGGGCCAAAACGAAACCTTTTTTTGGCAGCTCTTTCAGCAGTTTTTACTTTTTTGCAATCGCCGTGGCAGTGGCAGTAAATCGCGTTCAAGATCGGCCTCAGCTGTTGACGCTTTTTATGGCTCGGAGTGAGCTAAGAAAACAGCGGGCCCTAGTGATTGTTTAATACTTAATGGTTATCCGACACCGAGAGCGAGACCAAGATCGAGACCCAGGCACTTGGCATGCGTCACAATGCCGGTCGCGATCTCCTCGAGATCTCCTCGAGCCCAGAAGCCGCGTCCCCAAAAGCGGGTGACTCAGCAGCCGCGCGTCCAGATTCGCGCATTTGCAACCGGCTCGATAAGTTTGCCCAGCTTGAATTTTAATTTCCAGTCTTTGCGGGTGCGAGAAATGACGACGACGCTCGTTTGAACGAATTCGATCATCGCTCCTCTCGGTCAGCGGCCTTTGCCGGGTTCTTCTCTAACTCTAATGATCCATTCAGTGGGATGATCTGCAGAGCTATTCTCAGGGCTTGAGTAATCGCCGATCTCGAGTGGATGGAAAGCAACACCTTCTCCGTTTCGCCTTTCTTCGATTCTGTTTCTACTATCACAGGCTTTCAGTTGAGCGATTTTATCCAGTCGGGCTGCAATCTAGCCTGATGATGAACGAATAACTAAGTGTTAGAATCACGCAGTTACTCAGAATATATATGGTAGACAGTTTATTCCGTTTTAGACAGGGATTGTTGGATTACAGTACTTCAAGCCCTGGCCATTTGGAGCAGGTGATAGAGGGGCACAATGTTAGCGTTGCTCCTGCCGTCGAGGAAGTTCTGGTGGGACAGCACGGTCCTGCCCTGGAAAACGCCAGGAATGGCGGCGGAAGTGAGTCCATCGGTACCGGAGAGTTGGCTATCGACCTCCCCAGCCGTCGAGGAGCGATAGAAGGGATAGTAGGGAAAGCCGGAATAGCCTCCATAGCCAGGATAGCCAAAGCCCCCAATTCCATAGCCGCCGTATCCGCCGTAGTAGTTGAAGCCATTGTAGTAGGGATTGTAGTAGGGGCCCGGAGGAGGAGGTCCTGGCGGAGGAGGTCCGGGTGGAGGTGGTGGGCCCCAAGGACGAAGCGGTGGCGGCGGATAGGCGCCCGGTCCTGCCGACCAGGGCGCTGGATAGCCATACTGCCGCGGGTGCTGCTGCTCCTCTGGTGGATAATAGTAATGGTGTTGTACTGACGGTTTCGGGGTGGTCGGCGGGGCTCCCGAGGACATCACCAGCTTGATGCCGCCCTTACCAATGGTCTTCAGCAGGTGCTCGTCGATCCCGCGTCCACTACCCAGCGGATCGTCCAGCACCTGTTGCTGCTTATCGTTCCTGGCCTGTCCGGTGACCAGGCTTGTCTGCAGCGGCGCTTTCTCCTGGAAGCAGAAGCCGCTGGCCAGCAGCTGCAGGATAACTGAACAGGATGTGTCCCTCTTTCTAGACAACCGACAGCTCGTACTCACCCAAACCAATCGCAGTCACACTTCGATCCATGATCTCTCTCGGAATAACCTGACCACTGCAGCTGCATTGCCCTTTTATACCCGGTGCATCATTGATAATCCCACAGCTTGTTCCCGGTTTCCTCATTAGAATAACCCATGCAGTGGCCCAAATTTGGGATGCCTTTCTTTCTTTTCTGTTCATCAACATCTCCATCTCGATCTCCATCTCCAACTCAATCTCGAGCTCGAGCTCGATCTCGGATCGATCAAGCACCGTTCTAATAACTGCGCTCATTAATTTGCATATGGGGCTCTGTGGGATCCCTCCACTTCTCAGTCCACTTCCATAATCGTTCTGCCAGCCCTGCATTTTCCCAAATGAATTGAAGAGTTCAATATCCCGCGATAATGCTATTTGATATATGACGTTATTTGTATGCATATAAAGATGCGCGGTGCCACTGAAGAAAAATATTTCGCGAAGCTTTTGAGTTGGTCACAAATTCTTTAAAAATATGTGTCCTTGAACGCAGTTTATCATCCGCTGCCATAATCTTTGGTTTCCTTCCTTCTTTGCGACTTATCATTGTTTGCTGAAATTTATTTCTGGCTCCCGCTGGAAAGCAAATCAGCCTCTGTTCTTGGTTCCCAGTTTTGGGACTGGACTATTTCTTTCGGTGTGCGATTAATGGGTTAGGAACTCATGGTTTTGGGTTCCGTTATGGGTCGTGTGTCGCAGACATGTTTACGACTCGTCGGATACCACAAAAAGTGGAGTTCTCTGTTACATCACCCGGTGGAGTATTTCTGGCTCGGGAAACCAGTTCTCCACTCTATTAGCCAGCTGAATGGGGATTAAAGAACGCGTAGATCAAGCCGATAGAAGCGACTCCCCCAGGCAAGAGAAAGTCAACGACTTTAGGGAGAAACCTGCTTATTGCAGAGCACTATTTTAATTACTTACTCATTAGAGTTTACGATTCAATTGATTACTCATATATGTTTGCATGTTTACCAACATCCCTGGCTGGTTTATCTAATCATGCAAATATCTGTGGGCTTGCCCGACACCTAGTCCACGTTGGTATGTAGAATCCCGCTGGTATCTGTTATCTGCTATCATATGGACGTGCCAAAACGGGGATCCCAAACTGTCTGCCTTCCCACTTGGTACCTTACCTTAAACAGACGTAGCATAATCTTAGGCGACCGTTGGGCTGTCAAAGGTGCTAAATGAGTGCGGAATGACTGCAAATGGGTGATGTACTCATATATGATCGCTAACCACTGCCATCTGTCCTACGTGCAATTAAACAATTATGTGACAAGCATCGAATCACGGCGAGCTCGTCTCCACGACTGGGACGTGTCTGCCGTCTCTGCGAGAATTCCTAGGAAGTCTTCCCCGGCAAACATTTCGCAATTAGTCAGGCATTCGTTCGAGTTCCCCCAAGCGAACCCCTTCCAAGTGGCGCGGAGTTGATGGAAACACACAATAGTCGAGGCAATTGCAATCGAGTGTGTGTACTTACAATGTTTTCATTCGGCAATGACTTATTATTTAGCGCACTGATAGCTGATAACACTGTGCTAATAGCACTTTTCTGAGTCGGGGCTCTGAGTTCTGATTTCTGAGTTCTGAGCCCTGAGCTCTGACTCAGAAATATCCCAAAAGCGCGGCAGTCATCTAAAAATCTTCGAAGCATTAAGTTATTATTTAGATTTTGCGGATCATTTTTATTCTCGAATTAGTTTTGGAGGCAGAGCATTGGGAGAGCACAAGAGCAAGGAACTTATGTATATTGAAATCAAATCCTTGATCTGTGCCATAATGGATACGCAGGACTACCTAGAGTAAGCTGTGCTGAAATTTAGAAAAAGTTTTTGGGTATTATCGGTTGTAAATCATCAAGAATAATACTTGATTAGTTGTCTGCACGATTTTAAAGCCAACAAACTGGGTGGAATAGCCACTGCTGGCTGAGCTTATGAATCAACTGAAAAGAATTAGTTGCTTAGAATGACAAACTCACTTGATTCCCGGCAACAGTCCCGAGATTCAGCATGGAGACGGTACTCATTATTTGAGGATTGACGCATACGACCAAGATCTATCGCGATGTCAGGTACTTGGAACCTCGGAATACACCCGCTCCGGAATTCTTTGCTGTGCTGTGTTTCTGTCATGGTCTCCTAAATCGGGTCCCGAGTTTATTCGCGAAAGGCGCTATCTAATCGGCGACTGATTGGCGACATGGCCCTCCTCATCGCAGCCATAGGTATATTATCGTTGATAAATGTGCCGACTAAAACAACACAAATTCCGACGAGGCCGATTGATATGTGGAGAAGAGAAGTATTGATGGTTAAAACGCCTCAACTTCCAGCGGATCGGTTTAGTTTGCCAACGGAGCCGTCAAAGGGCGGAATATGCGCGGAATCTGACACATCCTCCAGAGATTCGACAGTTGGAGCTATCAGTGGTGTTGTGCACTAGTGTTGTGGAATAGTCTAGTCTAGTACTTGAGCCGGAACAAGGAGAACCGAATAAACATGGCCAGGTAGCAACGGAGAGAATAGACGCATCTCGAGATGTGCAATTGTGCCTCAGTGACCTAGTGAATGCATTGAAAGTAGCTAACCCCACAGATATTAGACTGGTATTCTTAAGATACAAAGCCCACTGGCCTATTGGCCAATCCATTGCATAATCAATTCTTTTATGGATTTACCCGCCGCGTATCAGCACAACTGGAGCAGTCGTCCAATAAAGCAAACTCTTAGCACTTACCCACTTCCCTGGCCCCATGAAATATGGCATTGATAAGGTGAATTGCACCTGCCCACCATTATTTCTATGGTTCTATAAATACAACAGATTGGTTTCTATTGGGTCCCATATAAAATATCACTGGATAAGTCTGATGAGATCATTTCGAATTGATCAACAAAAACCGCATTCACGAGTCACTATCATTTTCCTGATTCATTTCCGCAGGATTGTTCAAAAATAAATTGTTAAAATGCGAACTGTGTAAGCTTACCAAAAATCTTATCTTTCGGCTTTCGCCTTTCGCAGGGGCTTTTCTGAATTGGTTTTCAAGAGGTTTGTCCTAATCAAGGTTGTTAAACACGGCAACCCTTTCAGCTGGGCACTAAGATTAGGTTCCTCAAAGATAAGATTCGTGAGGAGGATTTTCCCAGGAAGTTAGAAGTCACAAAATCACAATGGAGAACTAATCTTTTCCTAGGGGATCTGTTGTTAAGGAATCCTTTTAATGCTTATACGCCCCCGTCTATTATTTTAGTTTTAGTTCCCAACTGAAGATGGAGACGGGCCTGCACGAACGAGATCGTGCTGGAGTCCAGGACTTTGTGCTCCTCGAGAACTACCAGAGCGAAGAAGCTTTCATCGAGAATCTGAAGAAGCGGTTCCAGGAGAATCTGATTTATGTGAGTAAAAACTAGTTTGTTTAACTCTACAAGTCCTTTGCAATAATGGCAACGATATCCTTCTTCCTAGACCTACATTGGCCAGGTGCTGATCTCCGTGAATCCGTACAAGCAGCTGCCCATCTACTCCGAAGACCATGTCAAGGCGTACAGGAACAAGCACTTCTACGAGATGCCCCCACACATGTGAGTCTCAAAAGTACCAAGTCCCATTGAACCACCTAAATAAGGCGCCATCCTGTCCAGCTTCGCGGTGACGGACAACGCATTCCGTTCGCTGATCGAGGAGAACCGCGGCCAGTGCGTGCTCATCTCCGGAGAGAGTGGTTCCGGCAAGACGGAGGCCTCCAAGAAGGTGCTGCAGTTCATAGCCGCCTGCTCCGGCAACCAGACGACCGTCGAGGGCGTCAAGGATAAGCTGCTGAAGAGCAATCCCGTGCTGGAGGCCTTTGGCAATGCCAAGACGAACCGGAATGACAACTCCTCGCGCTTCGGCAAGTACATGGACATCCAGTTCGATTTCAAAGGAGCTCCGGTCGGAGGCAACATCCTCAACTACCTGCTGGAAAAGTCGCGAGTGGTGGCTCAAATGGGCGGCGAGCGCAACTTCCACATCTTCTACCAACTGCTGGCCGGTGCCGACGAGGCCCTTCTGAAGGAACTGCGTCTGGAGCGGGCTCTGGACACATATAGCTACCTCACGGACGGGGTGAGTAGGCAGCCTGGATGGGGTGGGCAATAGGTCTCTGATCCTCGAATTCTAATCCACAGCCCAATGGCACTGTGACGAGCATTGACGATGCGGACAGCTTTAAGCAGGTCCAGCAGGCCCTCACTGTGATCGATTTCAGCAAGGAGGAGCAGCGCGAGATCTTCGGGATCGTGGCCAGTATTCTGCATCTAGGAAACATTGGTTTCAGTGAGGTGGAGGGCAATGCCAAGGTGAACAGCCGGGATCTGGTGGTCACCGCTGCTCGTTTGCTGGGCGTGAATGCCAGCGAACTGGAGGCCGCCTTAACGCACCGTACCATTGACGCTCGGGGGGATGTGGTAACCTCACCACTGAACCAGGAGCTCGCCATCTATGCCAGGGACGCCTTGGCCAAGGCTGTCTACGATCGACTGTTCTCGTGGCTGGTCCAACGCCTCAACATCTCGCTGCAGGCGAAGGAAACGCGGGCGTCCAGGAACAATGTGATGGGCATTCTGGACATCTATGGCTTCGAGATCTTCCAGAAGAACAGCTTTGAGCAGTTCTGCATCAATTTCTGCAACGAGAAGCTGCAGCAGCTGTTCATCGAGCTAACCCTGAAGTCGGAGCAGGATGAATACCGCAGGGAGGGCATCGAGTGGATACCTGTGGAGTACTTTGACAACAAGGTGATTTGCAACCTGATCGAGGAGAAGCACAAGGGCATCATCTCCATACTGGACGAGGAGTGCCTGCGACCAGGAGATCCCACGGATAAGACCTTCCTTGAGAAGCTCACCCAGAAGTTGGCCCAGCACCACCACTATGTTTGCCACGAAAAGGCGCCCGCCCACATCAAGAAAATCATGCTGCGCGATGAGTTCCGCTTGGTCCACTATGCCGGCGAGGTCACCTACAGTGTCAATGGGTTCCTGGACAAGAACAACGACCTGCTGTTCAGAGATCTGAAGGAGACCCTAAGCAAGGCTGGCAACAGCATTGTGAGGAGCTGCTTCCCGGAGAAGGAGCTCCGCAGCCTGAAGCGTCCCGAGACGGCTATCACCCAGTTCCGCGCTTCGCTGAACAACCTCATGGACATCCTGATGTGCAAGGAGCCGAGCTACATTCGCTGCATCAAGCCAAACGACCTGCAGACTGCCAACGTCTTCAACGATGAGTTGGTGCTGCACCAGGTCAAGTACCTTGGGCTGATGGAGAATCTGCGTGTGAGGCGAGCTGGTTTCGCCTACAGACGTACGTATGAGCTCTTCCTGGAACGCTACAAGTCGCTGAGCAAGTCCACCTGGCCCAATTACAAGGGACCTGGTGGCCCGAAGGCGGGAGTCCAGCAGCTGGTGAAAGATTTGGGCTGGGACGAGGAGAAGTACAGGGTGGGCGAGACGAAACTCTTCATCCGCTGGCCGAGGACCCTGTTCGATACGGAGGATGCCTACCAGGAGAAGAAACATCAAATAGCGGCCATCATCCAGGCCCACTGGAAGGGATTGATGCAGAGGAGGAAGTACCAGAAACTGCGTGCTCAGGTGATCATCCTGCAGAGCTACTGTCGCCGGCGGTTGGCCCAGCAGGCGGCCAAGAAGCGCAGGGAAGCCGCCGATAAGATTCGTGCCTTCATCAAGGGCTTCATCACCAGGAACGATGCCCCGAATGGGTTCAACGAAGAGTTTATTGCCAACGCTAAGCGGATGTGGCTACTCCGACTGGCCAAGGAGCTGCCCACCCAGGTGCTGGATAAGAGCTGGCCCCATGCCCCCGGACACTGCGAGGAGGCATCCGGCATCCTCCACCGCCTGCACCGCCTCCACTTGGCCAGGATCTACCGCCTGCAACTGACGCCGCAGCAGAAGAGGCAGTTCGAGCTAAAGGTCCTGGCGGAGAAGGTCTTCAAGGGCAAGAAGAACAACTACGCGAGCAGTGTGTCCTCCTGGTTCCAGGAGGACCGCATCCCCAAGGAGCACATCCAGCGAGTCAACGACTTCGTGGCCAGCACCTTCGGTAGCGAGCAGCTTAAGTACCAGTCCTTCTGCACTAAGTTCGATCGCCACGGCTACAAGTCCCGCGAGCGCTTTATCCTGCTGAGCAACAAGGCTGTCTATGTCCTAGACGGGAAGACCTACAAGCAGAAGCACCGCCTGCCGCTGGACAAGATCGACTTTACGCTGACGAACCACAACGACGACCTGATGGTCATCCGGATACCGCTCGATTTGAAAAAGGACAAGGGCGACCTGATTCTGATCATTCCGCGCATCATTGAGTTCAGCACGTATATCATTGACACCGTGGGAACAGCATCCATCGTCTCCATTGTGGACAGAAATTCGTAAGTTGTAAAGCGGTTATACCAGTGGTTTTCTTTTGACTGAATGTTGTATTCGATCCCAGGTTGGAGCACAACGTGGTCAAGGGCAAGGGCGGCGTCATCGACATCCAGACGGGCGCTGAGCCCGGAGTGGTTCGTGATAAGGGCCATCTAGTTATCGTAAGTACTAAGGGGCATGGAGCTCCAACTCCACATGAGAAAACGTCCCTTATCGTGGTGACATGCTGACATACAAAATATTTCGTTTCAGATTGGAACGCAATAAGGAATTTACTATGACTTTCTACAGAAAAGTGGCTTTAAATCAAAAGACCTTTGTTTTGTTATATTCGTGTAATTTATAGTGTAACTATGTATTTTTGTTACTGCAGCGTCTGAGAGTTGTGTATTCGGATTTTATATGACTAATGTTCCAACTAAATGTATATTGTTTATTAAATATATATAAATATATTACAATTTGTATATGAATTGCGTTCTTATCTCTCACTTTAATTTTTTTTAAGTAGAAACGTGGCCATTTTTTCTTAGCTCTTATCTACTTCATTTCGAAAAGTACCACCCACTCGATTGGCAAGGGCAGCAGTCGATAACTTTGCTTCGAAAGTAAAGTCTGGTGCTACCAGACTAAGAAAGATTTAAAATAATCTCGTTAAATTCGAGCATAACTCACTAAGCAGGTCTTCAGGTGAAGTTACTACTGAAATTAAGATAAATAAATAGGCTAATGGCGATAATTACATTTTAGACCGTAGCTGAGAATGTTGTTTACTTATTATCCAAGTTTTAAGTATTTTCAGTATTTATTTACGTGCGTGCGTTAGTTGATCAGCACTATAACACTTTACGCCTCCGGTCACACTGTTACCTTGCTGTCTTTTTCTTGCTCCAGCACTTTTACATAATCTTGAAAACTCAGCGTAAATATCGCCCAAAATACGTGCACTGCACTTGTGCACCGCGATACTAACCCGGGTGCGTTTCCGTTGCAGGAGAACCGAGATGTCGTTCACACAGATCGCGCGCAGCTGCAGTCGACTGGCGGCTACTTTGGCCCCACGGAGGGTCGCCTCCGGCGTTCTCGTCCAGTCACAGGCCTCCAGGATGATGCACAGGATCGCCATGCCAGCGATGACCAGCCAGTTGAGCCAAGTAAGCGATCGTCCAGCGGAGCAACTTCCTTCGCAGGACCCCCAATCGCAGTTGCAGACCTAACCTCATTGCAAACGGCGGGGTTTCGAGATCAGAGGGTTCCAAATCAATTAATTTCGTGCTTTGAATCTCGAAAACAACAGACGAACCTCACCATGTGTCCGTCGAACCACCCAATTTGATTGCATCATATTGTTTTGCATAAAACATGATTGTTTCCTCTATCGCACACACACACCTGCAACACCGGTGCCTGCACTTGTGTGCGGTTGATAGTACTACACTGGAATTCGGCTACAAGTGACCTAAACATTCTTAAATTTTAAAACATGTGATTTCTAAGAACTCTTCACCGTTGTCAGTTAGTTACCAATCAAATTATGTTTCTACGCAAATCTAAGCAAAAGATTTTGCGGTATCTAATCAATTTGAGCATACACAATCGAACCGCACTTGAAATTATATCTATATTTGCACTGCATTCAGACTCTAAAGCAATACAAAATAATTTAGTTGAAATTCATCAACTTTAAATTTATAAAAAAGTCAAAGAGGTCGAAAGAACGTTTTATGCACTATAACCTATAATATAAATTGTTATTAAACGTATCACTTATCAGGATCACTTACCAATCCAATTAGTCTTAGGAAAGTAAAGATTCATTAGACAATGTCATTCACAGAAGTTCGGAGTGCGCAGCTACTCGGCCAAGAGCACCATCGAGGACATCAAGTTCCGCGTGCTGAAGGTTGTCTCCGCCTACGACAAAGTCACAGCCGAGAAGGTAAAGTACCCACTTCGTGGCGCCACTAACCCGGTATTTGTTTCATTCCTCTCTTCTCGGGCCGGCCATAAACCAGGAGTGCCGTGGTCGCTGGCAAACGCAATTGGTGCGCAGATACTCGGCGAAACCGCCGCTCTCGCTGAAGCTGATCAATGAGCGCGTCTTGCTTGTGCTCAAGCTCTACGACAAGATCGATCCCAGCAAGGTAAACGCCACATATTGCCTTTGCCAGTGCAATGGTCGCCTCAGAAATCAGAACTGAACAAAGCTGATGTAACTTTTGAATATCCAATGCTAATGGCTCGCAATTACAGCTCAACATTGAGTCGCACTTCATCAACGACTTGGGACTGGACTCCTTGGACCACGTGGAGGTCATCATGGCCATGGAGGACGAGTTCGGATTCGAGATCCCCGACTCTGATGCCGAGAAGCTGCTTAAACCTGCCGACATTATTAAGTACGTCGCCGACAAGGAGGATGTGTACGAGTAAATTGTAATTGTAATGCAAGCCATTGAACGGATTACACTTAAATTTAAATAGAAAACAAGTCAAATACAATTTGATCAACTGAATAAACCAATAAACCAAACGTTAAATTAACTTGAAGAGTCAGCAATTGTACACGAGGGCTTATAATTGACTGCAGAATACCAGCTAATAAATTAACTATCCAAAGAAATAAACGAGTGCTTTGGTTCTGGCGGTCAAATTCAAATTTCGATAGAAGCGTTTATCTTTCGATTGTTTTAGGCAGGCTTGTCTATTCTAGCTCCCCAGCGACGGTCACTTTAATTGCTTAGCAAAACAATCTGAAAATTCGAAATGTCGGACGCTGTGGACAAAATGTTGGCGGGAATGGGTAAGTACATCCTTACTTACCAATACAAGTGCTGTGTTGGGTACTCATTGCTCCAATTTGCAGCTGCCAATCGGCAGACCATGACCCGCCAGTTGGCCAAGATAGACGAGATAATGGAGCGGTCGAACAACACCTTGTTGCACATCGAGTCCAACAGCAAGGCCCTGAATCATAATGTGCCTTTGTCGGAGACCCAGAAGATGTATAACCTCAGGCCGGAGGCAGAGATGGCCCTGTCCAAGATCCTGGAGAACTTTAAGGTTCTCATGTCAAGCAGTGACCAGCGGGAGGAGGCATACAGCGCTCTGGAAGGCTGTCTGGCCTACAGGCACCGCGTGGAGCACCTTGGGAGCTCCGTTCGCAAGCTGGTGGCTCTCTACGACACCGTAGGCCAGATGATAAGTTCACAGGAGGAGCAGTATGCTAGCGAGGATTCCCCCTAGCTCACAATATTATAGCATTTATTATCGTATTATCGTTTAACAATAATTTAAATAAATTTCTCTAAGCGAGATCTTCAAATCATCCCCATATTGTAGCTGCTGATTTGGTGGAGGGTGTAGGTAAGCACCTCTACGAACATCTCCAGGCGAGCCAGACTGCTGGTGGCCAGTATGTCTTTGGGATTGGGCAGCTGGAGGCTGTTGGAGCGCAGGTAGTTGAGCTGCTCCATGTTGGCGGCGATGGTCACAAGCTTCTCTTGTTGCTCAGGTGTAAAAACATCTGGTGGAGACTCCCCGCCAGCTGGCATGAGCTTTTCCAGCTGCTGCGCGAACCCATGGAGCTGCGCCAGCTTCTGCTTGTATATGGTTTCTGTGGTCTCCAGTGCGGCTGCCTCGTCGTAGATTTTGGTTAGTTTCCGCTGGAACACCTTAAAGTCATTGTACACGTCCACGGCACTGCGCTGCTCCTCCAGACGCGTCAGACTGAGGGAAATGTTGGAGGTGTTGATGCCTATGGCCACCGACTCGTCTGCTCCTCGTAGGAGCGTTGAGTTGGTGCGTTGCAGCTCTCGCTTCTTGGGCATCTTTTGCAGGTTGGACGGGTACTCCTCCAAGGTCTTAAAGAGCTCCGCATATTCGGCTACCGAGCTCAGATCCTTCGGGGGCGTGGTGGCTGCCGCCTCCTCGTCCATCATCTGCTGCAGGCTGTCGAAAAAGGCCCCCGGTTTCATCACCGTCTTGGACACGCACACGTCCTTTAGGTTCCTGACATGTTGCGCGAATTTTTTGTACAACTTGGAAGAAATTCTGCTAAAATCTACATTCGTTTCCATTTTTATTGTTTATGCTTCACTTTTCCTTTGATAACTTGGTTTGAATGGCTTGCGCCGCAGCAATCGAAAATCGATTACATCAGAGGTGGCCGTTTAAATTTGAAAGCAAAATTTTTGTTTTGAAGAATACATTTATGGTTGCATAGGCTTTTGGTTTTAAATCAGTAATAAAAATATTTGGAATTTAATTTTTACAAGCACTATTTTGTAAGTTTATTACATGTATATCGAGGTCTTGAGCGATTTTCGCGAGATCTTAATAGGCAGTTTATACCTTCTGAAGTTTCGGTTTATTCAATTCTGAGTCTCAGAATTACAAGGTGGCACTCATCCATATTCCGACTGAACGGTGAGCGAAAACTGACCCTTTGGGATGGTATTGGCATGATACCAGATGCGTGTGTCCACCAACACAGCATCTCCGGGCTCCACATAGAAGGAGAAGGGCTGGCACTGGTGGTCACATTCAGGAGCAGGGGCCAGAAACCAGCTTTTGTTGCCACTTAACTGCGCTTGCCACATCAGGCGTGGGATGTAATCAAGCTGCACAAATTGAGAGATTAGGCTTAATTGTTGTGGATGTTTTGTTGTTACTTACATGCATTACAGCTCCTTGCTCGTAGCCCATTAAAATGAAATCCGTGTGAGGCATTTCAGCATCGACGGGCAGGAAATGCGGGCGGGGATACAGCTTTCTGAGCTCCGCCAGCACAGCCGGCTGGCAGACACTCCAGCCAACGAACCAGGGCACTCCTTGAGTAAGATTTGAACGCTCCGCGGACATGGAAAACACATGCTTCAGCGACTTGAGATCGGAGTTGAAGTGCAGAAACTGGCAATCTGAGTCCATAGCTCCCGGGACGCTCTCGTACAGCTCTTTCATGAAGGCAAAGCTGAGGTGCTTTTGGGCTGGCCAGTGAGCCACCGCCCTCTTCACAATGATGGGCATCGAAGAGTACGCGTGCGGTGCGAACTCCTCCATGGTGAGATTGGCCAGGATCAGGGGAGCCCTCACTCCTTTACAAAACTCGCAGTCGCTAATAGGCCTAGTGGCCTCCCAGACCAAGTAGTTGTTGGGCAGAAAGCAACGCACTCCGAGCAGAAAGGAAATGGTCTCGAAGAACACCGGGGTGGCCACCATGATGAAGAACACTATACCCAGCAGCCAGAGCAGATTCAACCGATTCGGGTTGTGGTCCATGTCGCGCGTCTTACGGAACGCCTCCTCCAGCTCCTGTGTGGACACTAGTCCAGTCCTCATCACATTCCGATGTAGAGCGTCCAGTTGATCGGCTAAGTCTGCACCCAACCGCTCGCGAACCGACTGCATCCGGTTGCCCAGCGTCCGCGTGGGGCGGCTGATGAACTGGAGAGTCCAGCACTTTATTATTTTGCATCTTTTGAGTGTTTATTATTCTCACCAGAAACATTTCCAATTTCCGCTTTGTTTTGCTTCCAAACAGCTGAGAACGATAGGCTTATGGCGCGACCTCTTGCCTATCGAGTTGTCAGGGTTACTTGACTTTCAAAATTTTGTATTGGTGGTTTTGGTATTTACAGCTAAAAATTTAAATAAAGCCACCACCAAAAAATAAGTTATACAGTTGTAAGTACCGCTTTGATTTACATTGTCAAAACTATTTAAGAAATTTGTAATATTTATAAACTCAAGAAATCTTAGTATAAAACTTAGTATATTTAGCAATCTGGCTTCAGTCACAAACTGTGCTCATACACTCGGCAACCCTGTCAGCCGTTCTTCGTATATTTTAACGGTTCGCCCGCGGTCACACTTGTCATTCACTTTTCGCTCTTTGCTCGGTCGTAGTATCGGCCAGCAGCTAAAAATTTTGAAAGATATTTCGGGTTGGGATTATCTGCCGATTAGTACAAAGCCAACGCGACAATAACTCAAAAATGTGTCTTGAATAGTGCGTGCATTTACGTTTTCATTCATCTTGTATCGTTCATCCGGGCCTTCCACCTCACACTCCCCCTTTTGGCTGCCAACGTGACCCCGAAAGCTGTCCTTCTAGCACACACTTTCACTTTGCAACAACAACAGGAACAACAAATAACGAACAAATAACACAGCATAAACAATTGTTGTGCAACACTTATTAGCAAAACGTTAGAGCGCCCATAATGTCGGCACAGGAAAACGTTATTCGCGTTGGATCGCGAAAGAGCGAGGTAAGTGTGTTAAAGTCGTCGAGAACTAAAATATGTGCATACTACATCCGCTTGGAATTCGAATTGGAAGTGCTGCATTTGAATTTCAATCACATTTTGGTGGCTCTCCCTTTCTCTCCCGTCTCCGCCCGCCTTTATGCAAGACTTGTTGCTCTCCGCGTGGTGTTATTGCAGTTGTTGTACTTGCTCTGCTTTTTGGTTACTGTTACACAATTCGCTGTAGCAACACGCACTTTTGCAGAATGAGAGGCAGACAGAGAGAGAGAGACCAAACTAATACAGTGCACTTTCGAAAAGTGAACCGAATGGCCCATCTAACTAGCTGAAAAAACAGAAATATATTTCTGTATCGAGCCCGTACTGTACTTGATTTTTGTATTGTCCCCATTTGAAAACTTGATTTTAAGCTGGGCCTTTTAATAATATTTGTGTTAATTGCACTGAGCCACCTTTGATCGTGCTTTAAGTGAAGGCCACCTGTCTGCTGCTGGCATTTCAATTTGAAATTACTTGACTTATTTGCGAGCTAAGTGCCCCACTCTCTCCTACTCTCGGCTCATTTGCATTTAATATTCACTCTATTAAACAATTAAACACTCTCCCCCTCCTTTCAGCTCGCCCTGATTCAGACCAAACATGTCATCGGCCGTCTGCAGAAGCTATATCCCAAGCAGAAATTCGAGATCCGTAAGTGAAAGTCGGGGTTAGTAAATATGGAGCCACTGCCTGGAAGGGGAATTGGAAACTCATGATAAGCAAACTGGAAGGGAGTTGGAAGTGCCCAGTCATGCTGCACATGGGGATTTGGAAACTGGAAGCAAAGCATGACTTGTGGAAATTCCAGCAGGAGCCTTGCTTATCGCGTTTTCTGATAGTGGTCAAAACAAATTTTACGCCTTTTTAAATAGGATTGCGTACGATCGGCTTTAACATATCGGCTCTCTATCTTCCGGCCTCTCTCGCTCTTTCGCCATCTCTTTTCCGCTCACGTGCCATTTGACAATGTCAATGGCTAGTGCTGTTGTTGTTGCTCTCGAGATTAGGGAATGCCAAAAAATATTACAGTGGTGGGCCAATATCTAGCTGTTTTGAGTCACCAATCTGCTCTGGCCATATAATCCGTTGGCATTTACCAATTATTCTTACGTACCTAAACTACATTACGTGACAATTTTTGTTTGGATGAAATGGTACCATCGGTCTATCTGATCGATAAGGTTCGCACTTTCTGCCGACATTACTGGGAAAAGTGTTGAAATTTTATTCATACAGGCATGTTGGGCACCTCCGAAACCGATAAGATTGGCCCGTTTATGGAAATACATTTAGAAGCACCCACGTTGATTCAATCGATGTGGCTTATCATGACTAGCACCATCGTAATCATTTAAAATTGTTGGAGTTCACTTGCCCCATCCATATTACATTAAAATGCAATTTGGCAAGTGCTTTATTCAGCACCTCGCACGCAATTTCCCTCTTCAATATACACTTTTATTCAAATTCTATTCCCGGTCCGATAAGCAAAACATTTGGAAAAGACATTATCGTTGCGTGTTCCTAATGGAAAAGGGGAAGTTGGGGAGATATTCGTATTCCGTTTGCATGTCTCGCTTGATTGCTGTCATAAAGTGGGGAACTTGGGGTGCTATTGGGTTCCTTATCAGGTGATGATGACATAACAAACTGCAATTAGGGGAACGCCATCCTTAGATGATCGATATAAGATGTCCATTTTAAAAGGGTACCATTTTTGAGGTCAGAAGGAGTCAAATAATGACGATAATGAATAGAAAGTTAAATATTTAGTAGATAAATAATGGAGTGCCTTGTTTTATCCGATCTAATTGCATTTTACAGACACCATGTCGACATTTGGCGATCGTGTGCTAAACGTTTCACTTCCTAAGATTGGCGAGAAGAGCCTGTTCACCCGCGACCTCGAGGATGCGCTGCGCAACGGAGGCGTTGACTTTGTGGTGCACTCACTCAAGGATCTGCCCACAGCCCTGCCAACAGGAATGGCCATTGGAGCCGTTCTGGAGCGAGAAGATGCACGGGATGCGCTGGTGCTGCGGGACAACTTCAAGGGCCACACGATAGCCTCGCTTCCAAAGGGCAGCGTGATTGGTAGGTGTCATACACATGGGTGAATTGTGATTAAAATGATTAAACTCTACGCCTATCCACAGGAACCTCCTCCCTTCGTCGCACGGCGCAGATCCGTAGGATGTACCCCCACTTGACTGTGTGCGACATCCGTGGAAATCTAAATACTCGACTGGCCAAGCTGGATGCCGCCGATTCCAAGTTTTCCGGCATCATTCTCGCTCAGGCTGGCTTGGTGAGAATGGGCTGGATGAGTCGCATTAGCCAGGTGCTGGAGCCGACCGATTTGCTCTATGCCGTTGGCCAAGGAGCCCTGGCCGTGGAGTGTCGGGCTAATGATGACCAAGTGCTGGCCATGCTACAGAAACTTATGTGCCTGAATACAACGTGCCGCATCCTAGCAGAACGAAGCTTCCTCAAGACTTTGGGAGGTGGCTGCTCCGCCCCAGTGGCAGTTTGGAGCAACTTAAAGGGCGAGCCCTTGAATGGAAACAGCCAGGAGGTGGGACTCTCTCTCACCGGTGCAGTTTGGAGTCTGGATGGCGCCATAGAGATACGGAACCACCTGGCATGTGCCTTAAATGAACAAAAATTGGAGGGGGAGCAAAGGAAACGAGGGGCCCAGGAGAAAGCCAGTCAGTTGCAGGAGGAGAACAGCAACAGCTGCGATTCTCCGCCAGCCACGAAGCGTGCCCGAAATGGCAACGACAGTTCCGGTTCGGACTCGAATTCCAGCAGCCCGCGCCTGCAAGGTAGCCCCCCAGTGATCTGTGAGGATGCGGCTGCATGCGAAGCTCTGTCCGGTTACACTGTGAATCAGCTCTCGGATCTGGCCAGTCACTGCCCAGTGCTGAGCAACAAGAATGTGCGCTCTTCCGGAGTTGGTGGTGGCGATGCGGATACCAGCAATGCGAATACTACTCCCCGTCAGTGTCCTCTTCGTTTGGTGGGCGGTCAGGATGTGATGGGCCAGTGTCCAGTACCGCACAATCAGGCAAAGGCTCCTGCCAAATGTCCAGTGGCGCATGCAGATTCCGGGGATTCCTTTAGCGCCAAGAATGTTATGGAAAGTGATTCGGCCACCACTGCTCACTGTCCACTTCAGATGCCCGTGGGACAGGACTTCATGGGCGAATGTCCGTACGTTAATAACGATGTGAAGGTATCCTTTGCCCAAGCTGGAAAGTGTCCAGTGACTGGCGGTGTGGCAGGCACACCAGCTTCCATTCTGCCCACACCACCGAGCAGCAGAGCCAGTAATGCCAGCAGCATTGGCGATGAAGTGGATAATGTGGCCACTTCCTCCAAATGTCCGTTCGCGGCAATGCATCAGGGCAGCGGTCTGGAGGCGCCAGACAAGGACAACGGAAACGCCGGCCCAGCCAAGTGCCCGTTCCTGCAGAAAACGGTCCAAATGTTCGACTACGCCGACGAGGAGCAGCCGACGCCGCAGCACTCGGTGCTCATTGAGGATGTGCAAAACCTGTTCTGCGGTCTCTACCAGCACGCCTGTTACAGTCGGGGGATCTACGAGAAGGCCAACCAGTTGGGCAAGACGCTGGCGGAAGACCTGATCAAGCGCGGAGCCCTCGAAGTGATGAAGGTGGCCCAGGCAGAGATTCACGGCAAAGTGGCGTCGTCTTGAGCCCGTCATCAAAATCATCGTTTACATTAAGTAGAAAAGTGTAACTAGACAAAATATTTTCATCCTCGTTTCTGCTTCGTTGTTGAAGAACTTCCGTGGAGAATTCATGCTTCCATTCATTGCTTTAACATCTGTATTGTCTTCAATCCTTCTGCTCTCCCCGGCGAATGAATAGAATCGCTTATGGTTGGTTTCCGCGTGAACGTTATTATAGTTTTGTTTTTGTTTCGGGAATATGACAAATAAATGTATAAGTGAACTTAACAAACTTAACTTTTTCTCCAGGGATTGAAACGAGTAAAATGTAGCTTTTTGCCATTTTTTATTAACAGTTCATCGTTCAGTACAAAATAGTTGTTTACGGTCAAACTAATCTATATACTCTTGGTGAGTACAAATGGGTGGTTCCACGTCTTAAATTTCAAATTAAACTCATGTTTTGTAACTTTTCGAATCGAACTTAAAACGTATTAATAATAGTTAAAAATGTATGAAGTAACCTTGTTAAAAATTGCAGTTTTTCTCGGCTTTCATCAACTTTATATAGATCCTTTCGAGGTTAGCCATTGAAAATTTTAAGCCATGTAATGATACTTACCTAAGCAATAAGCTAACGTAAAACTATATTGGTCAAGAAGGAAATGATAAACAAAAAAAAAACGGAGTCTAGTGCAACTGGTGGCGCTTACGCAGGTGAGAGCAGAGGTAGTTGGCCTCCGTGAAGACCTTCTTGCAATGGGCTACGCCGCACGGCAGCCCACTTTCGGAGCCGCAGTCCGAGAAGTGAGCCACGTAATCCATTTGGTTCTTGTAGATTTCCTTGCATATAGTACACTTAAGTTGGGAGGCGTGCTTTTTCTCCATGTGCGAGTCCAGGCGTTGACGCGTTTTGACGAACTTCCCGCATTGGTCGCAGCTGAGGACGGACTCGTCGGCGGTTGAGTCACCAATGGACTCCAGGCGAGCCTTTTTGTGGGGCTTCACGTTGTAGTTTATTTCCTCCACTACATCTACATCAGATGTGGGTAGCGTGTCCTCAGATTTGTCTTGTTTCTTTCGTTTTTCTGCCTTTGAAGACGGACTGCCAATGATTGAGGACACAGAAAGATCTGCCTGGCTGGTAGTGCCCTTCTTAGCCTTCTTAGCTGGCGACCGAGGTGCAATCATGCTCCCATCAACTTCGTTCTTAGGTCGTATAATCTGTTCTTCTGTGGGTCCTTCATCATCCTCCGCAGTGTTGTTACTCTGAAAAGCGTCCAGAATTTCCACAACCTCATCCTCTTCTCGCAGAATCTTTCGGTTGTTGGACTTTGCGCCTTTAGTAGCAGGGCTTAGCAATGACTGCTTAGTTCCTTTATCATTCTTGGCAGTTCCCAGAATGTCTACGTCCTCATCCTCTTCTTGCAGAATCTTTCGCTTGCTGGAGTTCGACACTTCAGCACCTTCGCTATGTAGAGCCATGTGCGTTTTTAGCGACTGTTTGGTGGCCAGACACTTCTCGCAGACGTGGCACTTAAATACCTTAGGCTTGTCAACGCCGTGGGCGGTCTTCATGTGCTCCTGCATCTGCTTGGCGGTCGTCAGCTCGCAGTCGCAGATGTCGCACCGAAAATTAATCGAATCCGCCCTGGGAGTGGAGGTGCTGGAGCCATTGATGGCAAATGTGTACTCCGAATCGATCACGTTCTCCAGCATCCTTTTCTTCATTAAAGGCTCATTTAGGGCTTTAAAGGAGGCGATTTTGGGTGCTTGAGTCTTGTCTGCGTCCTCACTGTCTGTGCCCTTTTCACTGTTCACTTCTTGGTCGCCTACTTCCCTAACCACTTTGGTTTCATTCTTAGATTTGATCTCCTCGGTCTTCTTCCCATTGGACTTTCCTTCTTTCGTCTTTTTGCTTTGACTCACAGCCTTGGGTTCCTTTGCCTTTGCCGCACTTTTTTTCTTACCCTCTGACTCTTTTTCCTTGTTTTCCTTCGCCTTAGACTTGGCCTCGGCCTCGGTTTCAAAAGTGCGTGAGTGAGCGTCCCGTAAATGATTTTTCAAGGTCTTAAGCACTCCGAATGTCTTAATACACAAGGTACAGGAATATATGCGAGGTCTCTGAAGGCCATGTTCCTTCTGCAGGTGCTCCTTGTAGGGGTTGGGAAACTTTGTGTGAAATGCGCACTCTACACACTCAAAGTTGTTTGTGTTAATGGTGATCGGACCTTTATCGGCGGCCTCCTCTTCCTCGCTCTCGGTCAGCACTTCGATGGCATCATTATCGCCGTTGCCAAACAGATTAAGGAAAACCTTCTTAGTGGACGACACCTCTTTGGCGGGCGTCAGCTTCACGGAATCGTTGAGATCGTCCTCTAAAAGTCGAGATAGATGCTTTTTGGGACTCTTATCGAGTTTCTTTGGCGAAGCATTATTGATCTTTATTTCTGTATCAGCTCCATTGATAAAGCTCGCCGGGATAGCTGCTATGGACTTGCTGCGCTGACGGATGGTGGTGTTCTTCTTTTGCACCTTAACCGCCTTCTTATCGGCTTCCTCCTCATTTTCTGCCGCCTTGCTCTTCTTGGCGGGCTGGGCCTGCATCCTATCCACAGTCTCGCGGACCTTCTCGATTAGTGCCGCACTGGACATAAATGTGGAGGTACAGACGAAGCATATCTTGATGGGCAAGGATGCTGGGATCTGAAAGAGGGCAAGATGATTCGAGATAAGATTGAGAAATCAGAATGCCGCCCTTTCCAACTCACGCTTCTGTGGGTGATGGTCTCCAGTACGTCTGTAATTTTCCTGCCCAGGAACACCTTCTGAGCAGAAAATACGCTTTTCGGGCTTTGGCTTGTGCCGCAATGGTCGCATTGCACCTCCTTTTGCGCTTTGCTGACCATATTTTCACTAAGTTGTCCAGTAAAAACAAAACCAGAAATCAAACAACGTGCGCACGTTTCTTTTTTTCTACAACGCTACAGTTATCGTACGCAACACAGCTCTGTTAATCAACTGCAGGGCTGCCAGATTGGGGCACCCTAATATACTAAATAGCTAATGTGCTTATGTTACAATTTGAGTTTAAGCAAAGCAACTGCAGGGTGCACAGAACGAATTTTTTGAAATGATGAAATGAATTTTACTTGAATTTAGTAACTCAACATTTAAAGAACTACCTATAAAGATAGCAATTTTGAAAAACATTACGAATGCAGAATATTATAAATTCGGTCACACTAAGCTTGACATTCTGTTATTGGTCACATCGCTGTTACGTAACAGCCAAGCAGGTCGATATATAATCGATAAATGAGCGATATACTTTGAACTTGGTTCGTAATTTTAAAAGATGTTTATTTTGGCATTAGAAGCTACAGTAATGCAAAATGATATGTTCAATTTGTTTCTTTGTGTTGGTGCTGGACTGGATGGGCTGTGCCGTTACTTTGTCTTGGACTTTTTGTGTCGGTTCTCGCGCCTGCAAACAAAGAGATGAAAAATGTTATGAATGACAGACAGGACAGCAAGGAATACGCCAGGATCAAGCGAGCGGTTCGCAGTTTTCATGTCTTAAATGTATAGCTTTATTTGAATACTTTCTCTTGCTCCTCATCTCCTTCTCATAGGCATAATATATAGTACTGTGTTGTGTTGAATTTGTTTCAGTGTGTGGTTGGTGTACTTAGCCGACGGTCAGTTAACTAGGCATTACTATAGGTATTGTTCATGTTGTTTCTGTTAAATATACTTAATATAAATATGTATTTTCCTTTATTAGTTATCCTCCTTGGCTCATCCGATTTCGTATGGTTTCGTAGTGCCTCGCTTCCGTGGGTGGTTACTTGAATTTTCGTTAAATTGTGGGTTACACATATAAAAAATATTTGCGTCCTCTCACGCTACACGTTTATATAAATATGTTTCTTGGGATTGGGACTGCACACTTACTCTACTGGAAAAACCATTGAATAGTCTTTCGTCTTCCTTCTTCTCGTTATTTAATACAAAATGATTTCGCTATGGCAAAACCCGGATTATAATTAAATCATACACCTATACTTCGCTTAGCGACTTAGTGAAACGATTTTAATTTAATTTGATTTGCAACTAGCCAAGTCCACGGTTACAATTTCGAAAAGAATCACTTTATTTTGATTTCAGATCTGCCGGGAAGTGTGGTCAATGAACAATTTTGATTATAACACTCGTTAAAAGCGTTAAACGAGATATAGGTGTACATCGTGCTATTTGTTTATCCGAAAGTTATTGCTTTAATGGCGCCGAATTTCGATTCATTAATAAAGTGCTCTTTTAAGCGGAAAGGGGGGAAAGGTTTTTAAACACAACAATTCAAAGTAGTTGGGGCGGGAGGCAAAGTAAAATTAAGAGTCGTATAGGACTTCATTCGTTTCTTTTTGGCACATTGCTGCACTTTATATTTTTGCCATGTACTACAACAAGTGGTTGTTTCTCATTAATCTTCATAAATAAATATACATAGGTCGTATGCTATAAGAAATTGCTGTACAACAACAAGTGAAGCGTGTAGTGGTTGGATGTCGGGTGCTTGAAACATTGGTAGTTATGATACTCATAATAATTCATAATTTTATGCATAGCGAGCAAGTAAGGTGAGCCTTGCATTTGGCGTGGCTCGTTCGGGGGTTCTGGTTATCAATGTGTTATCAATCCATTTTTTAGAGTGTAGAAAATAAATTTGTTCTAAAATGTCAGTCTATTGCGCAAAATCTACATTTGACGTGATTTCTACCCGATTTTCGTTAGTTTAGTTGCAAGTTTTGTTTCTCTTGTTTCTTTTGTTTTCCTTTTTGTATTTCGTATATAAAAAATTCCCTAATATTTATGCATCGTGTCGTGTATCGTTCGTTCAGCTCAATCCGCCATCCGCAATTCGTGTGCGATTGCGAGCGATGCGATTCCGTCCGATCTCTGATCCTCTCCGATCCGTCGACACGTCGTCCTTGATTCGTGCCCGCATTTAATGCCAGGCCAGGCGGACGAGTTGGTGGGGATCGGAGGTCGGAAATCGGGTATCAGGGGAGGAATCGGTCTCCTACGGCAACTAAATACGTCATACAGCTATTGCTACTACTGATCTACGACTACTTAGTGGCTACGGGGGGCACTTAACCTAGCTTCGTGTATGCGTAGGCGCAGATCACGCCCACCACAACACCAGCGGCAATATATGTGAGTAATGACCTTCGTTTCTTTGCCGCCAGCTGGTTGTCCTCGTTCTCCCGCTGCTTCCGCTTGATGTCGTTGACCTTCTGCTCCAGGCTGGCCTGGTATTCGTTGCGTTTCCGCCGCTTCAGCTCGTTCTCGGGACTGAAAAGTATAAATTGGCAGGGAATTAGAGGAATGGCCATGACTTCTAAGGGTGGTGGATGAGAACTACAATTTTACCTGGCTGGGAGCTGGCCTGGAATTGGATCGATGCCGTTCGCCTTGTGCTGCTCGTCGACTGGCACCGCTGGCTTCTCGTTGTTGGCATTGACATCGTCGGCATGTGGCTGTGTTGTTGCGGGCACGTGGCCATTAACTGGATCAGCATCGTGCTCGTTAATGGTCTCGTACTCCTCATCCTCATCTGTGTCGTCCTCGTCGTCGTCATCCAGCAAGTAATCCTCCTCGCTGTCCGACTCGTTGAAAGCTCTCACGGGCAATGGCGGCAAGGGACGGCTGTCAGCCACCTCGGCATCGTGGATCATATCGTGCTGGTTAATGAAGTTGTTCAGGGCGTCCTTGCTCAGCTCTTTGCCGATACTCTCAGCTCCATTAGCCTGGGCGGCGCGCATGTTTAGCGAAAGTATACCGCCGGAATTGGGGGCCAGTGGCAGGTTAAGCGATTGAACGCGTGGCGGCAACGGCGGCGGCAGCTCATCCAGTGTGTGTGTCTCAGTGTCGTTGCTGATGATGGGTTCTTCAGCGTCGAGAAAGGTCTGAAGCGGAAGCAAAAGGTTAGTCTCGGTTAATAATCAGGGCTGCCACAGAAATCTCTGTCAACCAGAACTAGCGGTTTCTTCTTTGCATCAATTTAAAAATAATCATTAATTTCTGATACTAGATCACATAATAAATACAAACGAAAATAATACATTTTTCTAAATGAATCATAATTCCAATAAGCAAGTGAAAGATTGAGTAGAAATCTAGTAATCCTGCGACACATATAAGCCTGGAAATTTCTGTGACCCCCAGTAGGAAGAGCGATGTGCAATGTATACGGCGGCGCTTGGCAGCCCCCAAATTTGGCTCCCAAACGCCGACCGCTGGTCGCGCATACATACGGGATCGTGCAGCTTTTTGATGCCCTCGATGATCGCCTGGTAGGAGAAGTCCAGCTGGTCGGCGGTCTGTATGAGGCCCATGCGGTAGCTGCGCAGCTCGCAGAGCACCTTGGACACATTGCACTCGCCGTACTTGTCGATCAGGACCAGGCAGCAGTCCACCAGGCAGAAGGTGCCCGACCGCCCGATTCCGGCGCTGCAGTGCACCACGGCTGGACCCACGTCGCGGCTGAGGCAGCCGGAGTCGCGAACCTGCTGCAAGAACTTAAGGAATGCATTCGGCGAGCTGGGAATGCCAAAGTCCGGCCATGTGGTGTAGTGGAACTGCATCACTTCACGACTCTGCTGCGTTTCGAGATCGGTTAGTCTAGAGAAATGGTCAACGGCAATTGGTCCATATGTATAGCAAGTTTAATGGCGAACAACTCACTTGAACCATCGCCGCACAAAGTTCTGGTAGGTCTCGAGACGGACGAGCTCCACGGTGAGCTTGACGTGGGGGAGCTTCAGGGCCTTGTCGGCTCCCATCTCGTTGGGCCAGTAAAGGTGGCACTTGATCTGTTTCTTCTCCATCAGCTTGTTGAGCATGAGGATCGCCCTGGACTTCTGCTCCCATACCATCAGCCAGAAGTGGCCTACTGTGTCCACCAGCGGTCCTTGGGTCAGGATGTACTGGCGCTCGGCGCGCTCCAGCTGAAAAATATTGGTTGCTTGCGTTACGCATTAACTTAGGGGCATAAAAAACGTGACCCACCTGAACCAAGTTCGCATTGATGTAGTCCACGCTGCCGCGCTTCAAAACAATGCGGGAATGGTCGTACGGATTCACATCCCGATAGCGATTCAGGCCGCGGTTCGTGTGACGTTCCGATTCCGAGGTGCTGAACTGCTTCTCCTTCGCCTCCCTGTCGCAAGTCTCACAAATTTCCTGGAATTTCGAAAAAAGCGATTAGTACAATCGATATTACCCATAACAACAAAGGTTGAGGGGAACGTTTGGTCCGTTGACTGCCGAGTTATCAGTTCATTTTCAGGCGCTAAATCGGGGGATTTTGTGAGATTTGCGCTGTTTACCCAAGGGTTCTAGATCTTAGAAGACAACTACTTTAATGTCCCGGTTATATAAAATAAGCCCAAATTGATCTTCCTTCTAGTAAAAATGTAGTTTTCGGGTCAAAACCATTTTAGGTAGTTTTAAAGACCCTAAGTCCAAAGTAATCTAAAATTTATGTGCAAAATGACTCAACGCATTCTTCGATAAAAGGGCCAATAGCAAATAGTTGTCGATTTGCATTGTTAAAACCAATATCAGTGTCTTTTTTTAAAGTCATTCAAACTGGGAAACTTTTTGAGGCGCAATAAAGCCTTTTACAATCGTTTCGTGTATTGGTGTTCCGAGAAAATGAAAACGTTCAGACTCATAATGCTCTGATAATTTGTTTTGAAACGATACATTTCTTTGACTGACTCGCGAGCTAAATGTAAGAAAACCCAAACTAATGTGTCAATAAAAGCCCGTTCCTGGGCTTGCAAAACTACAATGTGCAGAAATCAAATTTATTTTGTCACGGGGGTTGCCCCATTAGCGGTGATTCACCACTTGGGCCACCGATAAGGGCTCCTCTGGGTTGGGAAACCCTGTGATTGCAGCGATAGTAGATACATGTACAGGGGAAATCAGACTGGCAGGGCACCATGGCGAATACCAACAGCCCACACAGCGGGCGTGACTAATTAGCCAAGCGATGTGGATGATGGCGATAGCATTACCTTTATCAGCCACATGAAATGGGAATTGCTGGCACAGCTGAAAGAGCCCACCGGACAATCGAACAATCGGATCCGACTACCGAACCGGGAACAAGGTCAATGGCGCCAACCTGGCGATGACAAGTGCTCCTCAAACTTGGCTCAAAGTTAATCACATGCATGCGGTGATGAGTAACCAGCAGAAAGAGCGATTTAATATGGTCATCAGCTAAGCTTGCGTTGATTGCAGCTCGAAAATCAGTTGTTGTCAGTTCGTCATGTTTCAAAAATGAATCAGCTGCACGTTCTGCAGCCGAGCTGCTTTTAAATAACTTCAGAGTCATATTCTTACGCAATCTCCAAATCTAAGGGGCGGCAATGACCGATAAGGGAGCTTTTCCTCCGTTCTGCTGATAATTCCTTAGAAACGGGTAGAAAACAGTGCACTTCATATTTCTCGGAACTCTTCATTTCAATACTATTTTTACAATCACTTATTTGTCGTCCGATTATCAACAAGTCACGTGAGAATATGCGCAGATAATTGAGCTATTTTATTTAAATACTTGCCAATGATTGCCAAGACTTTCAGATAAACTCTGTATAAAGTGGCATTTTTTCTACCATGTCAAATGGAAATGGATATAAAATATGAAATCAGCAATCAGGCCAAACATTATGTAAATCCATAGCTGGCATTTTTCTATTGCTAGCCAGATTAAATGCAATACAAAACAGTTCTTCAGCTCCATTGAACATTGAGTCTTGGCTCGTTTACCAGCTACATACTGTTTTTTATGCTCGTTGGCTATTCAGGTGACCCTTCTAAACGGAGTGGCGAAATCTGAGCGAAGGCGGGGAAATCTCGGGGCTTGGGTTTCCAAAGCGTGTCGTGCAAACAGTTTTATTATTATGTTTCTGCTTTACCTTGCAACGCTCGAGGAAAATCGAGAAACAGTAACAAAAACATTGCATGCACGCAGAGCATAATTGCAGCGATGGATGAAGACCACTTGGCCAAGACGAATTCGACATACCCTTCCCACATACTAAGCGAGTTAATGAGATATATAGCTCAAAGAATTCGAACTAGCAGGGATGTTACCAACAAGAAAGCGGTCACCTGTTGATACCAACGTCTGGTCAGGATTAGAGTACCCGCTGGCAAGGTATCGGGGTGGAGAGGCGTCGTCACAGTCCACGGAGGTTGTCATAACGAGGCGGAGTACGTTCGGTGGGATGACGATGGAATGGATGGATCGAGAAGGCGCTTGGTGTAAGCTGATAGGGAGCAAGGAATACGAGGGTGAATACCTAGTGTAACGCACTCCGTTCAATGGAAATGATTAACCATAATGTGCGCAAAGAGCATAGCAAAACATCCGAATGCGTCATTGCGTTTTTGGCTACAGTTCAACTACCCTATGATGGGCTATCAAATTGGGAAATGTAAAATCGATTTTAGGTTTAAAAGGTTAACAGGATATGTTCGTTTTGGTTTCAGAAGGCATAAAGTCACAAAACAGAATTAATTGGCACTTAATTTATATTCTGTTCAAGTAATGTTAACCATATCTAAGCTCATAAATAGCGATTTATAAATTTGTAGAATGTGTTTTGAAATTTTTTAAAAATAAGACAGATAAGTGTCTATAATACATTATCACCTTCATAGGAATTGTAGCTAAAAGTAATTGAAGTTAAAATTGGGGTAGGTCGGGTCTTGTTTATGAAATTATCGAAACAATTTTTTGTTTTGACATTGATGTACTTTTTTGAAAACAGAATGAGTCAATGCTTACAATCTGAAGAACAAATAAGATTCACCGAGCTTACATGAATTTTACGAAAGTAATATCAGTAAATAGAAATTCCAGAAGTTTGATTCAAGCTGAAAAAAACCCTTTTCATTTTATGAGCAACTCTCATTTGAAAGGCTATTTCGAAACAACTTGAGATGATTTACTCATCGTTGATTGGAATCTGAACGGCAACTTAAGATTAATTTTACGAAAATAATAGAATCAGTAAAAAGAAATTCCAGAAGTTTGATTCAAGCTAATAATTTTAATTTGATGAGCAACTTTCAATTGAAAGCCTATTTCGAAACAACTTGAGATGAGTAAAGAACGTTTATTGCGAATCCAAGTGTTACCTCACTGGATCGACTTAGTCAAGTCGCACTGTATTTCAGTAGAAATGGCTGGTAGCTGTTTTTCCAGCCAGTTTCGACGCACAATTGCGTGCTGCTTTCCAGTTAGCTGGAAAATTAGATTATCCTCGGCGCGAGCACAAAGGATGACGAACGAGGATGCCGAGGAGCGGGCATCCAGAAACGAGATATTTGTACACACGACCATCTACTGTGTCATCCTAACTGCGGAGTGGAATTCCGTGAAATCCCAATTCAAGTGAGTGGAAGCGCTGGAAGAGGAACATAGGAGGAGGAGGAGGAGGAGGAGCAGCAGCAGCTGAAGACACAGTTCGCCGGAACTGGCTATAAAGAATGAGCGGACGAGGAGGAGGGGCAAGGAGAGGATTCCGACTCCAATTCCGACAGGCAACCAGAAGCAGCCCAAAGCGAGACTCAAAAAACCAGACGCATGCCCTTTGTGCCCCTGTGTGCGTGAGCCTCTCTCTCCTGCTTAACACACACACATGTGTGTGTGTGCGAGTGTGCGTTAGAGGAGTTCTTCAGTGGAGAGCACTGTCGCCCCTCCACGATTTATATTTTGTTTTTGGGGAACGGCAATAACAAGCACAACGAGCTTCCCAGAAATCGCCTCCAATTTGATTTGGCCAAACGAGAATTCGCGGAATAGCTCAAGCGCTCTATTGATAGTCAAAGGAAACCGTTTTTGGGGAAAGGTACAAATGTACACACGTATAGCAAAATAGCAAGCATAAATAAGCCAAATACACACACACACACACACGTTTGATGTAGAATGCAAAGTAAAGTGCAGCAGGTGTGCGCGTGTGTGTGTTGGTGAGATTCTGTTTGTACATTCTTTTTCAGTGTTTTTTGTTTTTGGCCAAAGCCTGGCTGTCAAAGGAACAACAACACCGCTGGCACACAACACACACACACACACACACACGCACGTAAAGCTCGCCACTGCACTAGTATTGGTGGTGGAGGCATCTGCAGAAGCCTTTTGCGCACTCATCACATTTTCGTGGAAATCGGACCGCCAAGGAGCTCTGGAAAGGTGTGTACTCCGCATCCGTGGCGAATCCTTGGCGACCCGAGCTATGCCACAATCGTTCATCCAGTTTTTAACCAGTTTTCAGTGCAGTCGCAGTTGTTGTTGCCAATTACCTTGTAGAAGCGATGCCATTGCGGCCCTTTGTCCTTGTACTCCGCCTCGATTTGCAGACGGGCCGTGGCCGCTGACCCACTCCCACTCGTTTTCTGCTCGCTCATTGTGCACACTTTGCGATTTGTAGCGATTTAATAACTTTTAATTTGGTTATCAGGCGGCTGGTTAATTTCAGAGCAGAACTAGAGCTGGACAACTCACGACAGTATCGATGTATCGAGTATTTGAGCTTGCTAGTGAAAACACATTATCGGTATTTTCAGATCGATATCAATCGATAGCTCGATTGCACATCACTATAATAATCGCATTAATTATCGATATCAATCGATAGCTCGATTGTACAGCACTATAATAATCGCATTAAATAGAGTGACCAGGCGCCGGAAAGATTTTCGCTCCACAGCTTATATTTATAGGAATCGGCCGCTTAAAGGCGTTCTGAAGGGTGCCCAATCAGAGACTGTGAAGGTGGGTCTTTGTAACAGTTGTAAAGACCAGGAAGACGAATAATATTTTGTACTTATAATATTTGAAATTTGTTTTTACATTCAGTTGAGTAAAATATTTCAAATACAGAACGATTAATAGAAAATATAAAAGCTACCTTTTAATATAATAAAATAAATATTTAAAATACAAAAATTAATACCATAAAATACCGATGTAACAATAGCCTATCGACGACAAGACTATCGCGTAGTACGGAAAGTATCGAATAAACAACTGTTACCCAATTAATTAATAACAACAGAAGCCCAAGCAAAATGCTGACCCGCGTGTTCCGCCTGGTTCACGACAGGCGCCTGAGTGTGCCTGTCCTGCGTTGCTTCCACCACGAGTTCTCCAAGCCGCCACCACAGCCAGCGAAGGGCCAGGAAACCGAAGGTGATCCCGCAAAGACTTTGGTTGCCGGCGTGCAGGACAAGTACAAAATATTCCGTGATGAGGAGGCCACGGAGATTTTCGATGTGGAGGAGGCGCGCCATCAGGAGCAGGAACTGCCAGAGCAGGAACTGGAGCCGGATCACTATTACGGCCTAAATTTAAAGAGTAGGTTGAGAATCGTCCAGGGAGAGCTTCAATTTAAGGCTTGTGTCCCTTTGCAGGAGGCGTTCGCGGAGTGTTTGATGTTGAGGACTTGGTGGAGCTGCTCCGCAAGGAGAATGTGGACGACATATTCGTCTGCTACGTGCCGGAGAACCTGAAGTATGTGGACCACCTGGTGGTCTGCAGTGGACGCAGCTACCGACACATGCTGACCACGGCGGAGTTCGTGCGCCGAATGTTCAAGATCAAGCGGACCAAGGGTGACATTCTGCCACGGATCGAGGGCGATAAGAGCCGGGATTGGATGGCCATGGACTTGGGTGGGTATTGGAATGAAGGCAGATTCAGGCGTCTCTACTCTAACACGTTCCATTTCCATTTAGGCAATATTGCTCTGCACATATTTTCACCGAGTGCTCGCGAGGAATACGATCTGGAATCGTTGTGGGCCATTGGCTCCGAGTTCGACCGCGAAAGCCAAAAAGCGCACAATCCATATGGCGATATGTTCATGGCCCAAACTCCCATTTCTGTTGTGGACAATTCTAAACTAAAGACTTAAAATTGCTTGGCTTTCCTAATTCAGCATAAAATCCGCATACTGTGCACTGGCGTTCTATGTGAATTTAGTTGGCTGCGATTAGCAACGAATTCTGGATTTAATACACATGCAAAACGATCGCTTTCAGCGCGATCTGAAAAATGCAAGGTAATGAATAATTATTTCGGTTATTCTCGTGTCATGGCCAAAGAACAATGCGATTGCCCATCTCGAGCTAGTTTCCTATTGTAAAATAAGAGTTATTTTTATATACTTCGATGTTAATAGCTGATACTTGCGCTTTGCGCACTTTTCTGTTCGCCTGTTATCTCATATCCATATATGCCAATACTTGAAAGGAAACTCATGAGTTCGCAGAGTTATAGAACAGGCGAAGAGAAAGATGATATATTATACGGTTGTCTTTCAATGTGCTGCAACTGAAACCCAGCATCCACTTGCTATTGCAGGTAAACTAGCAATATATAAATGTAGGCAATATAAGACTACTTTTGCTAATACTTTCTGAATCGCCTGAAAAGTTGCAGTTAATTATTGGTGGCTAAATGCTGGCGCCACCTATTTCTGAGGATCAGTTATCAAATTGCCTCAAATGAGGGCACCTAAAAGTATGCGCACAGAAGTATACTATAAGCAGGGGAAAGCGCTCTCCTGTTTCCAAAAATAAATGAAATCCCATTTTTATCCTTGAAATGTCAAAAACAAAGTTTTACATTTGAAATGTGGTATATTTAATTTCGTCTGGACCGAGTACTGCTGGTGGAATATTGGTCGCCTTCTCTCCATTCAACTGGCAGACAGTACAGTTTTAATAATGAGCATGTAAAATAAACATACAACAGCCCAATGTTCTACACTTCACATTCAAATTTTCCGTTCATTCAAAACAAGCCATTTAACTCAAATCCCGATGGCTCGAATATATCCTGCGGCGTTTTTTAATGACTACTTGCTCAAAACACAGATACGCCCACTTAATGGTGTTCATTGTGTTTTTATAGTCATCGGGCGAGGTGTGAAGAAGATTAAATCGCGATGAGGCTGTTTTCAGCACATTGATTTGTGGGTTTGCACCGGCCAGCGGAATGCTGAATGAAATTGGAAAATCAGGGAACTAGGGTCCAAGAAGGAGATCCTCCTGGCATTTGGAAACCGTTTCTCGCAGGCCATCAGCGCGAGTTGCGTCACGAGTCGAATGGAAACTTAATAATTCAGCATACGTTTTCGAAAATAAGTTATCGGTGTTTATGAAAACAAACAATGCGAAACAATCCGGCGAACACTGCGATAATCCGTGCAGCTGAAGAGCCAGACGGACGCCAATTGGCCGACACATGATAGGCGTAAAATTTTATGAAATTGCCGAAAATCTTGAAATGCCAATTAACGGCTTTAATACAATTTGTCGACGTCAATCAGCAGGAATGGAGCAGCGAGTGGCACGAGGAGTGGGCTACGAATACTCTTTCCAGATTTGCACTTTTTTATTTTTCTAGTGGGCACATGATATGGGAGGAACTTTCCGCAGATTCCGGCGAGTCCATAATCAGCCCATATCGCCGCATCGATGGGTTGAAAAGCAAATCCCGTGCTCGGAACGGAGCCCATGGGTCAGAGGTGAGCTGGAGAGGAGGAGGAAGTGCTGATTTACATCTCACCACCTGGCAGTGGCGGGGAATCGATTAAATATGCTTTAATGACCTGACAGGGGTCAGCGGTTGTTGAGATCTGCCGTCATCAGTTTGGCCACATAAAATGGAAATCCCATCGGATTAAATACTTGATTCGCTGGCAATCAACAACTGAATATGTACATGAAATCTTTGACAAGTAGAACTTAACTTATGGCATTAAGTTAAGTCAAATATTGGGGATAATGAGCGAGGAAAAGTTGTTATGCATATTCATCAACCTCCTAAACGACGCACAAAGTGAAGCAGTTTTGATTAGCTTCTACTTGTTTGATCAGCAGAAACACTTGTTTGGCTTTTCTTTGAAAAATCATGGTGTTTATGCGGCCAAATGTTGGATTATTCGATCAATCTGATCACCACATAAAGAAGATATCGCCAGTTTGTCGATGGGACGGAAGACATCAAAAGCGCGTAAACCGGGAACCACCGAAGTATAACTCTTCGCCAAGTGTTGGATTTAGTGTCTGGAGCATGGACTCATTTATACGCCGTTTGTGGGGGCGTTAGGCGAAAATGAAGACGCAATTGCTGATAAATACAAATAAATATAGCCGCGTGGAGCAGCCAGCTCCAGGTAAATCAACCGGGTCATCGAGAGAATCTGCACTCGCGGCCGAATTCTTTGTAGAAATGCGATTACCACCCACTGATCCGTAGACAGACGGTTAGAAAGGGATGCAGGACGGGCAAACGACCAGTTGAGCGATCCCAGTGACGTCACTGGGGTGGCGATGATGCAGCCACTAAGACCCGATAAATAATGCCCACACGAAAATAATAAATAAATATATTTTAGCGCGCGAGAGGAGGATCGGTGACGTTAGCGCCATCGGTCGCGTCATCGGAGGCGTCGTGTGCCCCCGAGAACTTTGATTATACGGATTTGCATTGGTCGGTTTCCAGGGGCCCTCCGATTTCCAGATTCCCCGATACCCCGTTTTCCCGACTCCGCGATGCCTCTGCCTGGCAATGGAAAACTGTTTCTATTTTCGGGGGATTGCACGAGAGTTTATTTCAATCGCCGCGCAGGTAAACAAACAACATCGCCAAAATCACCGCCATCCCCATTAGACTGGGGATCACTTAATAATGTTCTATACTTGATGCCGTGACGAAGAGGGTCTTCCATGGACTGTATCGCGTGGGTGGATGGGTTTCCTCCAAATGGCCACTGAGTGAGTGGCAATTTATTACGAAAGAATTCGGCTTTCGGCTGAAATAATATTTCAAATCAACTTTCTGCAGAACTAGCTGCACATTCACGGGGTTTCTTCCACTGACGCGAAGTTCCTTGAACTCGTTTTCCTCGAGTTAATTAATGGTTCTATAAGGTGAATTATGATTAAGAAGGTGTTTGATCGGGTTCTGGAAACTTCTGTCGATTGGCGTGCTTTCTATTTGGATTCAGTGCTTGCTTTACATTCGTTTGTATTTCAAGTTTTCGACACTGCCATTCCTTCAATGATTCTATCTATCACTTGATTATTTGGCTTTTCTTATAGGCGTTCTATATTCACACAATTGATTTCATTACGTGGCGAACTTTCGAAAGAACTTCTGTGTAATTCCAGCTGAACTAAGTTTTCTAGCGTGTTGTGTTAAACGCTTTGAGTCGCTTGTCATTCTGCCTTCATTTTCCTTTCAATTTTGGGTGTGACACTCTCTAGTTTTAGTTTCCTACACTACCTCGATTTCCACTCGATTTCTCCTTCCTGGAGCAACTAATCCCGATTCTTGTGCCGCAGCACGTGTCCTGGCATCCCGTTCCAGGATATGGCTCCCCTGCACTTGGCCCTTTCACTCAGATTCAGGTTCAGATTCAGTTTCGGATTCACAGAACTGCTCCCCGCGGCTTTCCGCTTTTCCGCTTTTCCGGACTGTGCGTGCAGCTGAGCCTAATCCGCGGGTTAGTTCCCAACCTGAAGGGCAACCCCGGTTGCTGGCCAGGGAATCCCCTGCTAGCTTCGTGGCCAGTCACCGTGATGTGGCGAATTGTGAGTTTCCCAGTTCGACAAACAAATTAACAGCGGCGGACGCGAGGGCTGGGCCCTCGAGACGCGCCCCTTTTCGGCAATAGATTCCCGCCCTGATGCCAAAGTGCTGTCCTGGACATCACTGCCTGTGGTCATAATACGCGTAATTTTCCCCCTCGTGGGGATGCGGCGTGTCCTTGGCTGCTGCTTCCACATAATGACTTTTGATTAGTGCGCCATTAAGCATTCTCTTGAATCGGAGTGACTGTTTATCCTGCTGCTCGCACATCTGTTTGATTTTTCCATTCGCAAGCTATGGGCTTGGCCATGACCCTTGGCAGGATGTCCCCGTTGCCATGAGAACTAGTTAAATGGATCAGTCACTCGAGAGGGTAAATCACTTTGGTAATTCGTTTTGCATTCAATTCCAACTGGGAGAGCGGGTACATTTCCCCCAATTAAATTGTTTCGCCTCACTTTTAAGTCAATTGCGTTTACAGGAGTTCGTTTCCCTGAATTGTTTACGGCTTTTCACTGCGCATTCTTTGCATAATTTGATGGCCTGTCAGTCGCTGCTTGGAAAGGTCAAAGCACAAGTGAGGAGCGGAAGACCTTCGCCCATCTTGGCCTCACTTCTTGCCACGCTACCCATAAATTAGGCAAGTTTTTCAATAAACTGCACAAGTTGCGCATACGACGCGTGTTCCCTCGAGAGCAAACTGGGCGGCTGGGGGCGCGAAGCCAACTAGGTGCAGCAAATATTGCCACATCAATTGCGGCTGCCCCGCCCCTAACCGCACACACACTTGCCGCCCCCCACATGCACATCAATTTCGGAGTGCATACACGGCGAGAAACATAACTAACCAACTCCAAGTAACTAGAGCTGCGAACTACCAGGAAAAGAATTCACTCTTGCGCAGCTTTATGAGTTAGTTCACATGCCCCATGGTTTTCCCTTTTCCACACGAGTTTCGTCGCAGTGTAAGACCTTTTCCACAGCTTTAACTGGGGTTCCAAGTCCCATCGCTGGGCGCCCATAATTCCCCATCAGCCTCGACTGCAATTTCGACTTGTCTCGCAGGTCGAACTGGCAGTCTTGTAATGCTCGTGTAATCTTCGAGACAAAAAGTTATTTGCTCGAAGGGAAAGCAGTGCGATTGCCGCTGGTGGCCAAAGTACACTTCCTCCTCGAAATCACCTGCTCTTTATGTTTAATTCTGTTTTTGTTAGGCGCCTCATCCATTTCGCTGCACAGCCAAAACTTTCTTTGCCGGAAAGTTGTTCGCCCAGAAGTTTCTGCAGTTTTCAGGTGTCAAAATCAATTTTGGAGCTGCGATAAAAGGCTGGGAAATGGGGGAAGTGGAAAAGCTGAGAAGCTGGGAAGCTGGGAAAACTGAGGAAGTTGCACGTACCTTTGCGTAGAGGAATGCTAATTATTCAGCTTAATGGAAAACAATCGCGAAAAGTCGTGAAAGAGTTGGGAGCTAGGGCTGTGCGGAAATGCTGCTCAGTTTTTGTGTAATTTTTCGATTTTCAGGGGTGGACAGCACTAATTAAAAGCGACACTCGCGCTGCATTTAATTTAATTCCCGCCAATGGCCGTCCATCAATCATGCAATCACTGCCCCTCAATCCAGCCCTCAATCCTCAATCCTTCATGCGGGCTACCGAACTCGACGTTTGAATAAATTCACTTTGCCCCTAATTGAATTGTAATTTTTCATAATCACTCCTAATCCGCATGTCATAAACTCCAGCGGCTGAATTGTCAGCTGGTTAATTGAAATACATGAAAGTGGATGCCCAGTCGAAATCAAATCACGATGACAGCGTCCAAAGTGCGGGACACAATTGGAAAATGCTGGGAAAACTCGGGTTTTGTAATGGCCTGTGGCAAATGTGTAAGTTTCACAGCTTAAGTCTGTGTTATTTGCATTCTAATTAATGCCTCAAGTAGTTTTTGTTCATTACTTGCGCTGCTTGGCCTAATTAAAGCTAGGTATTGTCTTACATTTATGGCTAA